TTAATTTAAACCTTCGACTGATTTATCTCCAATCTAAGGAATAATTCATCAGAGATGAGCTCACCAACAGTAACCGTAGCTCCAGTAATTGGTCGGGTTATGATGGGAGGGTGAGGTTCATCGAGAGAGTAAGCGGGCGAAGGACTGACGCAACGACTTGGACACCTTGACGTGGACGGTGTTGTTCGGTACAGCAGTGGCAGACCTAAATTTTGAATCTGCTAGTATGACTTCTATTACCTAACGGTTCTAATTTTAGTAATATATCGTGTTATTGTCACGCTTTCATACGTATATTTTTAATGGACGTGAACTTAAGCCCAAGAAATCATTTTATACTACATATTTGTTCAAACTTCTCCTAAAGTTATCAAAAAGGTTGGATCGCCTACGAGAGATTGTTCAACGTTTTCAAAGGTTTAGCTGCGCCAGTGTTGAGCCTGGCGAGCAGTGCACGTCCTATGGTTTTTAATACACTATGACGTCTACATTAATTTTTACTGGATCAGCTATAAATACTCATCTAAGTTTTATAGAAGCTGGCCAACCCTGCTGCGCCCGACTTAACTATGTTCTCGCATTCTTTGTAGCCATCAAATGTTAGCTAAAAACTTTAGATAACATGTCAATAAAATTCTATACGTGAGACTGCTTTAGCAAAAGAACACATGACGTGTATGGAATTGCATTTTTTGAACATGTGATTTTTGCCTAATTTTTGTTTTGGCTCGCTAACAAGGGAGTATTCGGTCTACTCAAAAACCAGATTAACGATTAATTCAAATTTCCAGGACTTTGCAAAGTTTTGCAATTCCAGTAAGGTTGATATGGTATGTTCGGGTATAATTAAAGGTTTCACCTAAATTTTTCCTAAGATACATTATTTACGCGAATTTGTGATTCTGCCTTGCGTGATTTCACTTCATTCCGGCCGTGTATGTAAGTACTAACATTCTCAGCCTTATCATTCTTACTAGAAGGTAGTATTTGCAGATTTTTGCTTTTTTAAACGATAGATGTAATTCACTAAGATTACACAAGGACTAAGAGCAACTTTGCTTGAAGACAAAGGGAGAACGTAACATTAGCTTAAAAACGTGTGGATTACCGCTACAGTTTGCTTGCACTTTTTCATATCAATCAAGCTCACGAGAAGTTGAACGAGTACTGAGGTCAAAAATCATTTCTAGAACCGACAGTTGCCTCGGACAAAATTAGGAAACTAGGAATGGCATCGAAATGTGCAAAAAAAGGTTATTGGAGCAGTGATGGCTTTGCTTGACGTTTTCCTTGTTCTTACGCTTGACGAACATCAGGAGCAAATGCCTTGACTGCATAACATCGTGGGAGGATTTAGGAGCTCATTGGCGGTTACAAATCGGAAGGCACCGATGTCAATCCCGAGACAAACTTCGGATTTTTAAGAGCAATAAGTAAAAGGCATCACCAGATAGTGTAGGTATATCTACAGTATCTCTGATTATAGGAGATACATTGATTTTTTTGTACATTGATTTTTTTGTTGAAGAAAATGTGCCAATTTAAATGGTTGAGCCGACTGGTGTTATCCAGGACTGATAGAGTATGCCTTCAAAAAGCTTCGCTGACTAATGCTCATGTATGATAACTTTCTACAAACCGTCAAAACGACGATTGTACCGAAATTTTAGATCTGGAGAACCCGTATAGACTGATACTGTATAGTCATAATATCATTCTAGTTGCTGATTACAACTATATAATAAGAGCTTTTAGAACTTTTGCATCTATGAAACTGTAAGGCTTGCAGGTAAATCCAAGCTTTCGGATAGTCCTGTATATAAAAAATGAACCTTCTGACGATCTCACTACGTGTT